CGGGGAATTCGGATTCGGTTATGTCATCGTCAGTGGAGGGGTCTTCTACCGTCGAGTCAGCTGCCGCGATGATAGATAGATCGCCACTGGTGATGTGCCATGAAAGGGAAAGAGAAGGTGAGTATGGACAGCATATAAAAAAACGAAGTGACTGGACATAACAGTACAGCGTATTAATAGTGAGTTGCAATCATCACTATGAATCTGCGAACATGAGAAACCAAATTAGATATATAAATATACGCGTTACATGGGGTAAATAATAGTGTGCACAGTGTGAACAAGTAGGTATCGCGTTGCAAATAGTATCAATCGTAATAAGAGATGTCATAAATCGATACGCGATACATATTGAGTAAATATAATCGCGATTTTAATTCAACGCTATCTAGTAGATTAAATAATGCTCCTTATAATGCATCAATACTACTTAGATGTCGCATGTTTCGGCAGTGTGTCCATTTCAACTGCGTCATCGTTAAGATCGGTATCATCCCGCTGCAAGGGATGCATAAGTGAATGTGGGGTTACGACCGGAGTTACAATGTCGTCACATGCAGGGGGTGTGGACTGAGGAACGGCTGAATACAAGGGTCGAGTAAGGAATGGGGTTGCGGTTGCAGGCACTTGTGTAACCTCGCACTTCTCGTATGAGGTACAAGAGCAGTAAGAGTAAGAGTAGAGCAACAGCCAAGACAAGAAGTCAAACACGAACTAGCAAAGTAACGTACCACAAAGAGTTATATTCGCCATAATGCAAGGTAAACAGAAACGTGAAGCTGAAGGTGTAGAGATACGTGATAGCCAAACCAACAGAGGAGAAGTCGTCCCCTCTCTCTCTCTCTCGGCTCTCTTATATGCAACCGAAGTTGTTGTTCGACCTTGCTACGACGTGCGCCAGCTGCGGGTGATAACTGATTATCCCGTAGTACTGTGGCCCACCTGCCGCCGTCGTAGCTATGTTATCACTTCTGATATTACCTTCAGCCTGCATCACGTGTGAACCTAATGGTTCATCTATTCCCCTGCATTGTCACCAATGCGACCCGCATGGCCCTATTCCAAACTAACAGTAATTAATAAGGCCTGCTGAAACCAGCTCCAGTTACACTACTCCCCCCAAATGAACTAATTGATCGCCCCGATCAACAATGGTGTAATCGAACGCGTGGACGCGCGATGTCGCGCACGCAGGTGTAATGGAACGGTTGCTGCGCGAGGGTGTGGCACGTTATTTTGTCTGCTCTATTCTACTTTAACGTCTAGATATTCCAAAAAAATTATTACAATCATGGTCATATACGTGAGCATGCCGCCGCGCGTGGCACCTGGCGCTTACAACGTTACCATGTCACATGCTTCCGACGCGAGCCTTAATTTAATTATTCGGCTGGTGCGAGTCTCTTCACCCTCGGCACAGCCCCTCTAGCTTGTCTGAGACTCGGTCCATAAAGCTGTTTCGCATCGTCTCATTAATTTCTTATCAGTGTAACCATACCATCATACCCTAAAGCTATACGGCATTCCCATATATGAAAACAATCCCCAAATACATTTTAATACTTATGCAATACCCGCAATATAATATTCCCTCGCCAAATAAACCATAACTACCCGATCAATACACCCCCAAAATACATAACACAAATGCACACAATAGAATACTGGTTTACATAATACTTAATATAGAATATAGAATACATAATACACAATAAATGAAGAGCTCGGAGATCCTGCGGTTTGCAGCTTGTCTGTCGCCGTCGTTTGTTGGGACGCGTTACTCCGAGGCGGCTGGCCGATCTGTCGTCGCTGTGCCTCGGGCCGCGTCCCGCAGGGGAGTCTGTACCCGTCGCATGGTCCGGTCGCGGAGGTGCGCTCGGGTCACTAATCCTGGAGTTCAGGGTGAGCGAGGCCGCTCGCGCAGCTCTCCCTCGCGTCGTGTGTCATCAATCGTGATGATGGCTCACTCCTCTGCCTCCGGCGACTCGTAGCCGTGGTCGAGGGGGTGACCCGTCTCGTCCTCGTCCCATTCCTCATCCATGAGCGTCTCGTACGGGATGGGAATGGTCATCGCCGAAAATACGAATGTGTCAGGGGGAGGCGCGTGCATCACCCAATAGTAGGGGCACTCGTACCTCCAACACCGCCACACCTCGAACCAGTCAACATGTATTGTATGACCGGCCGGGATGAGTATTCTAGTGCCCTGAAAGCTTAGTTCGGCCGGCGCCTGGCGGCTTATATACGTGGACTCTAAAAGGGGGAGGAACATTTCCGTGTGGTCGGCTACCGCTGCCGCCACCCACCATCCCTTATCCTCGTGCACACCGCCCGGCGGGGGCAGCGGCACGATGCCATACCCGAAGGTTTCGCAGTTGGATACTGACGGTGGGTAGGGTATGCGGGTCGATTTATACTTTGTGGCGACCATGCAGGCGACAACGCCGCGGCCGATGTCCATAAGGGCCCACATAAGTGCCAAATATTCGGGGAGGTTCAAATTAGAGTGGTGCAAAAATGCATGGTTATCGAGAGACCTGATGTACTCATAAATGCTCACAGAGAATGCCACCGAGAGAGTCCCAGGGTCGCCGAGGATTCAGCTGACAGGAATGGCGACGCAAATACAACCATGGCGTGCTTTGCGGAAGTAAAAAATAGGCTGAACAGTTTCGGAGGGCTGAGGGTGAACCTGGCACCATTCCCTGCGGGCGCAGAATACGCCGCGTAAGCAGCGACCCCGATTCTTACGGGACTCATAGCAGCTGATTAATTACTGGGTCGCGTTCACCGTCCGTGGAGCAAAGACTGAGTACACTACACGAATGGTGAGTATAAAATCCGCACAAACGCATGGACAAGCGCTTCTTGCAAGGAGCAGTCGGGCCGTGGAAAACAATTTATGAGAGCACCGTTGGCATATCATCGGTTAAGAGGTAATATCATATAGCAATTTTTACCGTATAACATCGTCGTGATATTTTTAGATGTACCCAATGATGCTAGTTATTATTTGACACCAGCCAGAAAATATATTATGGTCAGGCATCGCAAGTTGATACGGTTTTTGAGGCATTAATGGACACTGATCATCGGCACGCTAATCGTGGCCACTGGTTGACTATAGGGGCGTTTAATGTCGCCGAAATTAACGCCGCTCCGGCAGTGGTATTGTACTCAAAACAAAAATTAGGTTAATTATAAAATAATATAGACTAGAGGGTATGCGTCGGCATACGCTATGCCTTGCACGAACGGACTGCATTGGACCTAATGCGCGTCGTTACATGCCAACTGCGCGATAGAGACAACCGTTCGCATGTAGTGATCAAGGAGATGGCTACAGCATCCGTTATTGGTACAGTCGTTCGCTTACCGTATAACTAATATGTAGCCCGGCGGGGCAGCTTGCTCGGGCGGGCGACCGAGGATCGTAGATGCATGAAGATGGTGGGGCGTATCGGGGGCGGGCGGTCAGGGAAGCTGGAGCGCTACATGAACGAGGCTGAGAAGATTGTGGATAGTTCTCCCTACGCTCGCCCCGATGTCTTGGTGATTTAGAGAACTATCTCGTCGATATTTTAGATCTCAGGGCAGCTTCATAGGTGGGATAGCGATGTGTGCTATCCGTCGGGGCGTGAGAGGCTGGTAGCGGTTGCGAGGTAGACGCAATGGCGGCCCGTTAGGCGCGAGGCACGTGTACAACTAGTCTTTAGATCGGATGCTCGTCTAGCTTACGGCTGTGGTGCGACGCCGCGGTACTACAGTGCAACTGCTAAGACGCACTACCACCGTGAGGCTGACAATACCTGTGTAGCTGCCGGGCGGATGACCGCACATTGCTCGTTATGGTCGCTTGTCAGCCACAAATTTTTTCGTATGAACGTGGTATATGACGGGTGTCGGCTGCGGAGCGTGTTGGATGAGGAACCTGTGCAGGCTCGTGTTTTACAACGCGCAGTAAATACAGGTGCCCCTATGGAACTATTCGGGTAATCGCGACACGCAGCACCTGCTAGTACGGCGCTGGCCAATTGCTAACAGCGCGTATAGCGGCTGCAGAAAACTGTCGGTGATATCCTCGATAGTGTGAATGCCGGCCTCGCGTCGCGCTTGGAAAATGACCTGTCTAAAACCGGCCTCTGAACGCACAAGCTTTTTACCCAGTGGCCTCGACCGCGGACACGAAGTCATACAAAACTGACACAGTTCCGTTTTCGGCCGAGAGTCGCATGATATTGCATAACAGTTGTGTTGCGGTAATCATCCCCGTCTGATTTATCTAGGCGGAGAATGGCTACTCTAATAAACGACGTCTGTATGGCACGGAGGTATCCGCATTGGAGCGGGGGTAGCAGCGCCGCGTAATATCTGGCACCGGCCATATATCTGGAGTATATCTTGGAACGTGATCTTTCGATAAGCGCCGGGACTCGGGTGTACTCCACAAGTACTCGCTTCCAGTGCCCTCCGCAGATGCGGTGAGGAGTATGCACGGGTGAGGATGAAAGACACGCCGTGAAAGTGGAAAGCAATACGCGGGATTCGCCCTTACAGGCCTGAATCGCAGAGTAAATAACTTGCTGATTTGCGTAGATTTGTAATCTCGCGCACCTGACCACGATTGATTTGGACGCTCGCACGCTCTGGTGAATTGGGGCGGCTCTCGGCGCCTGGTTCATGGAAATGGTCCACGCGTAGCGAATCGGCGTCACATCATGAGTGAATAGATTTACATTCTCAGCCGCGTCCGCCTCCGCCCGGTAAGAAGTGTAAATTTTTCTTAAATTTTATTTTTTATAACATGATATAATACCTCCCCATTTCACTCCCGAAAAACTGCTAACTAATTTAATATTCCTTAATCTCGTGTACCATTCGCGCGCCTGTGGATCCGTGTTCTCATTCTTAGTCAATCCGTGGTCGGTTGGAGTTGTTGCAGAAGCCCCGTCGTTGAAAACAACTGGTCCCAGCTCTCTCGCTCTACTTCCATCGTCGCTCATCGGTCGTACGTCGGTGTGGGCGCGCGCATTCGTCATCGACACTAGGTGCGCTGGTTGGATTGCTGGACCTCCCAGGATACGCCTGGAAACGTGGCCGGGCATCTGCGATTAGCACAATTCTTCAGTGCGTAGCTGTTCCGGAGTGTGGTTGTATGTACTATCGTCGGAATCCACCCGCCCGCGGGGTTGAGGGCCTCCGGAATTTGAGATTACACATCGTAGAGGAAGGCATAGCATGTTGCTAATAGGCGATTCTGGCGCATGTAGCGGGGGCCAAAAAATGAAGGCGCGGCGTTGCACATGGGGGTCCTGCCGGTCGACCAGCGAGAACTTGTTCCGTGTGTGCTCTGCGCAAGTAGTGGTTGTGGTGGTGGCTGTGGCAGTGACGTCTGGAGCGCTGACCGACGTTCACCAACGAAGGCGTTTGTGTGGGTGGCATCTTCCTGAGCGTCTGGCTCAGCCGTGGCGGTGTCGACGTCGTTCAGGTCCGGGATCGTGTCGAGCGTCTGCTTGCTCTCTAAATGCCGTTTCCTGAATACGCCCTCCTGCTTTGTCTTGTCGTTCTGCTCTGCTTGAATCGCATACGTTGCAATTCTGCTGTTCATCGTTTGCTGCTCGTGACTGGGGAATACAGGAGATAGGTACACTTTAACATGTGTGAGTGTATGTTGGTTCGTTGAGGGTAGGAGAGTCATGGTCATAGGATAGTCCTAGGAGGGGAGGAGAGTCATCGGGGAGGGCGTAGGTCACGAGGGGTTGAGAAGGCGGAGGTGCGAGGTGGAGGGGCGTAACGTGGATTCTAGAGACGTGGCCGGCGTGCAGGTGCGGCGGGTACGTGTGGAGCGAGGTCGCGTTGAGTAGCGTTGAGGTGGATGCTGTAGGCGCTGGACAGGGGATGAAGTTTGTGGGTTCGTAGGGGGAACGGCGAGGACTGGCCTCACCATGACGCGTCTGTGTGGAAAATGCCTTTCGGCGGTGGGCGGCCGGTCTGCTCTCGTATTCTAGAAATGGCGCCCTGTGGTTATTGTCGTTGTAGAGTCAGTCCTGCCTCGTGCGCAGTAGGGCGGTAATCGTACCGGTGTCCAGGTGGATCGTGGCGGTGGGCCCGGTCGACCAGCCAGCGGGCTGAGGCTGTAGAAGGTGGGAAAATCCGCCCGCTCGTGTGATAAACATCGGCCTCAATTGGCGCCGGACGTGGGGTGGATAGGTGGTGCGCTGGCGGCGCGTTGATCTTATACGCTTGTGTCCGCTCGATGGCCCAGGGTTGAACCGGACTTGTAGCCACGCCATCTCGCAAAAGTCTGCGCGCGACATCGTCTGCTTGCTGCCTTTTTTTTTCGCACCTTCCTTGGGTGCGTGCGGATGTCGCTGGATCTTAGTGGAAATATCGGCGGTCTGACCATGTTGATCCGGGCTGGTGCTATGATGATGCTATTCTCCATGGTGTTTGTTGTTTGTTCGTGCTGTCGCTGGTGTGGTTAAGACTCTGTTTTTTTCCTTTTGTTTTTTTTGAGACACATGAAAGACTGATTAGACAATGGCAGAACGCTCCGAAACTGGCCCGCTGTTGAAATCCA